CAAAGTTATCTTCTTATTTGAAGATATTAAATTTGACACATTTATACTTCCATCAGCTGCTAAATTAAAGTTCTACACAGTGTTTTTAGCAGTACTAACAGTGAAGAAATAGGCCTACAGTAGTGGCAGAAGAAGTACTCAGATCCTTGAGTATAAGTGTCAGTGTAACTACACTGCAGGTAAAAGTCCATTCAGAATTCTACTTAACTTAAAGTACAGAAGTATTAACAAAATGTCCTTAAAGTATGAAAAATAAAGGTATTAATTCTGCAGAAAGATGCACTTTCCGACTAATATATATGAGATCTTATATGACGTAATCTATTTATATACAGGTAGGTGGTAAAGTCCAGCCAAGCTAGAGGTCAGGCCCCTTCCAAAGGGTCACAAATAAATCTGGAATGACGTTCTGCTTCACAAATTTACATGTTTCTTCTTTAAAGAATAAATATAATCAATTCTTTCCTTTTTAAATAGTGCACACTTTTACCTCTTAGGGCCTCAAGCAGTTATTAAACCTATCTCAGAAGTTTAGAGGGGAATTCTCTTCTTGGTATTGTAATGACTGAAAGTAGACAATAGGCCCAAACCAGTAAGACTACAGGTTACAAGCCAAACATGTTTAGAACCACTAAGAAATTCATTATATAGTAAAAGTTAATTGCGTTTTTATGTAAAATGTGTGCTTATTGCAGTTAAATAAATGTAGAGAAATGAAAAGTAAAATTTTGGTACTTGGATAAATGTATACATTTAGACTATGTAACCCTAAAATGGGAATTAATTTTGATGATACTGTACTTTTACTTGCAGTAGTTTTCCATTGTGGTGTTACTTTTACTTATAAGTAAAGGATCTACTTCTTCCAACAGTTTCCAATATGTAACACTAGTTAATGTGAAAACCCTACATTTGATCCCTATATTTATTTATTCATTTATTTATTTATACTAGTGGAGGGAGAAGTATTCAGATCTTAACAAGGTAAGGCAAAGTAAAAGTAGCAGTACCATAGTTTAGAGATACTCTGTTATAAGTAAAAGTCCAAATATTACTAAAGTAAAAGTACAAAATTATACTTAGAATACAAAAAGTAAAAGTGCTCATAATGCAGAATGGCCCATTTCACAATAATATACACTATATTATTGAAATATAAATATTGTTGCATTAATGTGGACATCACTTTAATGTTGCAGATGGTAAAGGTGGAGCTTATTTTTATACTTCCTGGTGGCTCGTGAATTTCACCAACGGATCAATAAAGTCTTATCCCTATTCATAATATCATCCTAAATCATTATTTATTTGACTATTATATTTTGTATTAATCTGAATCAGAATTAAAGTTAACCAATGAACATGGTGGAGTGAAAGTATAATATTTATAATATTTTCCTCTGAATGGAATGACATAAACTAGCAGAAAATAGAAACAGAAATACTCAGGTAGAATACAAGTAACTAAAAACTGCACATAAATACTTGTGTAAATGTACTTTGTTAGATTGCAGCACTGATTTAATGAAGTAGACAGCTCGGCAGTACTACCACTAGGGGCGCTAAAGATACTGGTCGCGACCAGTATCGGCTACAACCCCCTCTCCCAACTGTATCCGTCTGCAGTGTGCAAGAGAGGGGTGTAAACGGTAGGGGGCGTGGCGTGTAGTAGTTAAGTCATAGAGCGGGCGTGTCATGTAGTTACGTCACGGATACACGCCACGCCCACTACACACGCTTCTTAAAGGGATATGAGCCCAAATAGGTACTAATACAGTTTGACCACGGTCCAACTGCACATCAATGTTTTTGCTTACACATTCTTTGCCCTATAATAAATGTATTCAAGTGTACAAATATTATTATTATTATTATTATTATTATTATTCAGCAAAATGTATTGTCCATTCATCTTACATGAGAGGGAAAGTGAGCTGATTGTCAAATATTGTTATTATTACTATATACAGACTGTTTATATTTTAAGGATAAGCTACATAACTAATGAGTTAAATGGCAGGCCATTATGCCAAAGTAGTAAATTACAAGAGTTTACATGAGAATGAGTTGAGAAGATGATAATTACTTTATTAATCCCCAAAGGAGGAATCATTTGTCTGGCAGCACAAAGCCTAATGGAGGTAAGTAGCAAGGATCTTGTGAATATCTCCATTCTGCACTGAAGAGGAGCCACTCACCACTACTGTCTTTTAGTCTGTCAATGTGTTTGTTGTTAAGTGGGTGATCTTATCACATTAATTTATTTTTACTGTATGAGGACTGTAGCTTTTTTTTTTTTCTTCTTCTTCTTCTGGTACTTATGTATGTTTTTATGAATTCAAGTCATGTGAATGGCTCTGAGCTGTAGAAACTGATTGCCCTTTGAGGGTTAATTAAGTTTTTGTTTTTATCAGGATGTTTATTGATATTATACTTTTTGCAGGACATGCATAAATTATAAAAATACAATGCATAAATGCGTATGTTCTAAAAAATATAATATATAATAAATACAAAAAAAAACATTTCAAAGCTTCTCAGGTTTGTCACGACCTGGCTCAAAAGTCATGACAAAAGGAACAACGGAACGTCAAAGTGCCAATAAATAAAACAATTTATTTATTTTCTTCAAACGAAATGATTTAGAACAGAGGACCAAATAGATGAGGTGTGTTTGTCAGTATTATCAGTTGTGTAAGTGTGGTTGAGGGTTTGTGTGAGTGTCATGTTGGATGCAAAACCAAAAGACAAAGAAACCAAACGTACAGGGCAGGCGCTGGCAGGGATCTGGGAGAGTGAACTGCGCTGGGGGCTGGAACACCGGACCCAGGTGCTCCTAATCAGCTGAGCCAGGACGTCCAAATATGGGCAGCAGTAGCATGTCCACTTCAAAACAGAAGAGAATGGTTAAAGGCCCCAGTAGGGCCGTGACACATTTTATTGGAGGAGTCAAAAGAAAAAAAGTCAATCTGTGAAGCCATTACACCTTATAGCTGGCTAAGAAATGCCTCAGAGGAGAGGGCTCTTCGCATTTTATCCTTGAAAGCTTGTAGCTTCTCCGTTACCTCCTCTGATAAGTGCCCCATCAAGTCTTTTTGTTGCCTGAGTGTCAGACTGAAGCTCGCAGAACCTTCAGTCTGACATTGCCTCCACTGAAGGCGATTTACAAGGGGGAGGGAATTTGACTTTTCCCTAACCAATCAGTAGAGATCAACGACTCACCCAGAATCTGACGTCATTAGTATCCATGCCTCAGGGGTGCCGAAACAAGCAAGTATTGCCCGTTTAAAATGTCTCCGTCATCGTGCACGCCCAGCTGCATCGCCGTTAAATCCAGTTTAGCAGCTTCCTTAATTTGGTCCTCCATTAACGTGAGTAGTGGCGAAATAACTCGATAGCATCGTTAATGTGGTCTGTAGGATCTGTAGCGGTCGCCATTGTTGCTATCCTCCCCAGTTACCCACAGGCACACAGCTTGACATCAGCGTGGCGCTGATTGGCTAATCGCTAGACCCCCGGCGTTCATTGGTCCATCCATCGTTTGGACGAGATAAATCGCAAATTCATTGAAGTATGCCAGACCAGAGATGCAAACCTACCCAGTTGAGTGGGCGGGGTCTATGGTCTGGAACCAGGCTAGTCTTTTTGCATCATTTTCAACTGACTGTCAAAAAAACGTTTTGGTGAACCCTCTGGTGATCTTTGCCTCCCAGTTTGTTCCTGGCGACAGAGCAGAGTGAACCATCTTTCTTCTCAGAGGATCTTTGTCCCATGAGAGCAGGCACAGTGTCCGCAGTAAACAACGTTCGCTGGCGATTTGACAGTCACTAGAAGCACATTATGACCCTTTGTAAAAGTTTCTGTGTGGTACCTGTGTTGTACATGAGCTAACGTTAGCGGCTGAGGACTGAGAGGCTGTCCGGTATGTGTGTGCGTGTGTCTGTCTGTCTGAGGAGTGTCAGTACATTACCGTACCGTAGCCTTGCTGTCTGTTAGTCATATTAATGTTATCGTCGGCAGCCCTGAATAGCTTGTAAAGCTTTAGAATAGTTAGTTAACACATTTGTTATCGGCCCATGTGTTTACTGCTACAAAGAATTAATAAATCTTTGGTTTATTTGCACAACGTCGCCTCTCTGCCATCTTTTATCACGCTTGCTAACGTTAAGTTAACTTTACCAGCAGATCTGTATGAGGCACAAACTGAGGCTACAGTTTAGCAGTGTGCTGATGCTTAGTGGAATTTCTTAATATTTTCTGTGAAACTAATGTGCATTTAATAAAGAGACAGACACACTGGGGTGCATGTAGTTTTGAATGAGAAAACTTTATGGGCACAGCGGCCAGTTCAAAACAGGGCATGCTGCACTGGCCGTATGGGTACGAGGGGCATTATGGCCACAGTCTGGGGCATCCACGGCACTGGCCGTTTGGCCGTGGTATAATTCCTGCCCTGATTATTACAGCGGAGTCACAATTTCCAAGTTATTTCTGGCTACATTACAACAGCCACAATTTCTAGCTTAGATTTATCTACTTGGGAACAGAAATACATATATATACGCTGCATGTAATTTACCAAACGGGCAAATAACCCCCTCTGAAACTATCTTGCTAACGTTACCTTGTTTTGCTCAGTTTACACAGCAACGGGCTAGCCTCCTTCTGTCTGCACAATAATATTTAATATTGTGGTTAAAATATATAACTTACTTGCTTAGTTCATAGCCCCGGGTAATAATATAACTATGTGCAGCAATTGTAAAAGTGTGTTACATTTACTAAATAAAATATAAGGACACTTCCAGTCTGGATACGATCCGCCATCATTCTTTTTTGAGACCTCTCTCGTTTATTTCCTTGTTTTGTTCTTGCTTTTGGCGGGTCTCATTTTACGTCTCCCGTGGTTCAACGTGATTGGATTTACACAACTACACGACACGCCCCCTACACGGTCCGCCCACTCTACAGGTTCCGCCCCTCTCGCAGGCTGCAGACAGACCTCTCTCCTCTCTCCTGCTCGGTCTTCTCGTGTCTCGTCCCACTTTTACTACAGTGTTACAGGAGCCTTATTGCAGCTCTTGAACGCAGCACGGATACACGCTCGGCAGGCGAACTTTGGACCAAAATCGCGTCCGTTAACTTATCTGACTCACAGGAGCCATGGCCGGGCCCCCTGTTGTTATCTGGGAGCAGGAGGTGCAGCCCCTGCTGCGGTACAAAGAGTTGATCCCTCGTCTGGAGAAAGCTTTGGGAAAGTTCTCCAGACGAGACAGCGCGGAGGTGATCCAGCCTGTGCGCACCACCGTGCCTCTGCAGAAACACAGCGGGTAAGACTGCTCTCTCAAGTGAAATATTAACACGCTGTTCCCATTGCTGCCTGACACTTCTTTCTTTTTACAGCTTCCTGGGATTGATGCCCACGTACATGCAGAATGACGGAGTCCTGTGCACAAAGTTGGTGTGTTTCTACAAGAGGGAGGAAGGCTCAACTTTACCGGCCACGCAAGCCGCGGTGGTGCTGCTGGACCCGGAATATGGGAACGTCAAGGCTGTGAGTGAAACAGGGCCGTATCCACCTATTTAACATCAGGGGGACCATTTTTAATCAACACTTTCTGCAGCCCAGACCTTCAGCGAGGCCTTGGGTGATTTTTTTTATTTTAAAACAAAAATTTTAGATCAGGGGTTCTCAAAGTTTTGAATACTGTGTCCTTTTGGGGAGCCAGCATATGATTGAGCGCCTCGCAAGAAAAGTACACACACTAAGGGTGCATTCACACCAGGATGGTCCGGGCAATGCCGAAAAATTTCACACCTTCATTTGGTTTGGTTCACTTTCACACTGCACTTTTTAAAGCGGACCAAACCGCCTGAACAACGTCACGCAGTTACAACAGCTGCTCGTTTGGGGGCGGTATTGCCCGAAATGACCACTGACCAAGAAGAAAAAAAGCACAAGGAAGAAGAAAACCCGGCTCATCGGATTGGCCAGGACCGAAAATGGAAATCCATCCCCTTCAGCCAGCTTGGTCACCACAAAAACACCAAACACCAAAATGTGAAGCGCTCTACGTCACTTCCTCTCTTTGGTTCACTTCCTCTCTTTGGTTGAAGTGAACCGAGACCCCCAGTTTTCAAGAGGACCAAGGTTGGCTTGTTTGGTCCGCACCAGAGTTTCAATGAGCGTTCACACCACTCCAAACAAACCAAACTATCCGTGGAAGCGGACCAGGGTTCGTTTTAAGCGGACCAAACAATGCCAGTGAGAATGCGCCCTAAGACTTTTTTTTTATAACTCATAATACTGAAAAGTTTTTAATTACTTTTTAGATAACATTTATTATGACATACTAACACTTCACAAAACATTAACAGTGATAAAGCTGACATAAAACTCATATTACATTCTGCTTTTCCACTTTTTAAAAAAGTGTTCCCTTAATTTTATTGAGCAGTGTATATTGAAATGGCTGCCAAGGTAGCTCTACATCAATCAATCAATCAATTTTATTTATAAAGCCCAATATCACAAATCACAATTTGCCTCACAGGGCTTTACAGCATACGACATCCCTCTGTCCTTATGACCCTCACAGCGGATAAGGAAAAACTCCCCAAAAAAACCCCTTTAACGGAGAAAAAAAACGGTAGCTCAGGAAGAGCAACTGAGGAGGGATCCATCTTCCAGGACGGACAGACGTGCAATAGATGTCGTACAGAACAGATCAGCATAATAAATTAACAGTAATCCGCATGATACAATGAGACAGAGAGAGAGACAGCGAGAGAGAGAGAGAGAGAGAGAGATGCAGGTAATGACAGTAGGTTACAACAACATTATTGAAAGTAATAATATTATAGTTATAGTTCTGGCTACTGTGGTACAATATGTTGAAAGTATGTATTAATATCTGGCAGTATACATGTGTGACAATAGTCATATGTGTATAATAACAGTAGAAGTATGACTAATGACTAATGATGGCAGCAGCAGCAGGAGGCATCTGGCAGGACCACGGCAGCAGCACAACCACACACGTCACGCTGTCCAGGCACCGCTGCGATATGAGTTAATCTGAGAGACAGTGGAGCACAAAGGCTCCGGAGAAGAAGCCGAGTTAGTGACATCCAGAATGGCCGAGTTAGCAAGATGCAGTAATAGAATACGAGAGAGAGAGAGAGAAGGACAGAAGGTGCCCGGTGTATTATAGGGCATAAAAACAGCCACTATAAACATTTAGTTCCCACAGCTTCAACAGTCTTAGCATGTTTCCAACCTGCAGGTCATTGACGGAGAGGTGATAACATGCATGAGGACAGCTGCTGTCTCTGCCATTTCTGCTAAGGTACATCCGTTTTTTAACATCTATTCACGCATGCTCTATATAATCTATCACTGCAGTCCTATCTCTGATCACTTGTGTTTTTGTCACAGCTGCTGATGAGCCCTGAAGCAAGGGTGTTGGCCATCTTGGGATCTGGCAAACAAGCTTTGAGTCATTACAATGTCTTTACAGAGATGTTTTCATTCAAAGAGGTACAGTTATAGTGATATCTTGTGAGTTAATGAATGGCAAGTCTGAACAGAAGCCTTTGCATTTATCAGCTCAGAGCAAAGGCATATTTTTCATTAGTTTTTATTTTTATTTAGTTTTCAGTTTCAGGTAGTTTTCATACTTTTTTGCTATTTTTTTATTGTTTAAAAATGTTTAGTTTTAGTTTATTTTTATCAGTTTCAGTATTAGTTTTAATACTTGTTTGTTTGTTTGACATTTTGAGCATCAAACACTTAATTTCCTGCATTCTGATGAATTTTTATGCAACAATCTATGGTGTACATGTCTTGATTTATATGAAGTACCATACAAAATTCAGCCGCTATGGTGAAAATTTTAAATATTATTGAATATAAAATGTATGTCTTCACACATGTAGGCATGGTTTACTCTTCCCTCCTGTTTTGTATCTTTTGTTTAGGGAAGTAACCTCTTAAAATGTAAATGTGATATTCACCTCAGTGATATAATAATTTATTTTCCTTCATTCATAAACCCCTGAACTTAAGCTCAAATGTGTTATAGTGAGATTTCTGCTCATTGAGAATGATATTTTGAGAATAAAGTCATAATAATTTTGGAAAAAAGTTATAATATGATGAAAATAAAGTCGTTTAATGGGAATTAAGTCACAATACTAATGAAAAAATGACCTGCCCTGTCGTCTGTCTTTTCACAAACTGTCTTACTTCCCCTGGGTCCTCACCACAGGTGCGTGTGTGGAGTCGCACAAGACAGGGAGTGGAGAGGTTTTCCCAATCTGTCAGTGGCCCGGTGACGGCATGTGTCTCGGTGGAGGAGGCAGTGAAGGGAGCAGACGTCATAGTGACGGTAACCGGATGTACAGAGCCAGTGCTCTTTGGTCAGTGGGTCAAACCAGGAGCCCATGTGGCAGGTGAGGAGAAATAATTAACATACATGTGGATGAGATTTTTAGATCTGCACCCGGCAAATAGATCAGAATTTAGGGAGTGTTTAAAACTCACAGAACAGATTTTGTGTGGATTTTTTCCGGTAATTTATGTCATGAATTATGTCTAAAATGAAATGAGTGTTTCCCACTGTTTCTCTGCTGTTGCTGAGCAGCAGTGGGAGCTTGCAGGCCAAACTGGCGGGAGCTGGACGACGTGTTGATGAAGGAGGCGGTGGTGTATGCTGACAGCAGGGAGGGTGCAATGACTGAGTCCGGTGATGTCATCCTCTCTGGAGTCAGTTTGTCATTGTGCTTTCTAACTGTCTCAGTAATATACAGTATAACTGATTGTGTGTCATTGGCTCCCTTTGCAGAATATGTAAAGTAAAATATGTTTGTGGATGTCTTGATTCAGGCTGAGGTGTTTGCAGAGCTGGGAGACGTTATTAATGGGACAAAACCTGCCCACAGAGGGAAGACAACCGTGTTTAAATCCCTCGGTAAGCCCCTCCTGATGTATGCCTGGTCCACATCACGTGGAAAGTACTTCATTTTTCCAAATCAGTATTGTAAGACTTGTTTTGTATTTACAATAACAGGGATGGGAGTTCAAGATGCTGTGTCTGCTAAGCTGGTATTTGACCAATGGAAAGCCAAAGCCAGCCAATCATGAAGTCGCCATCGAAATTAGGCAACACAAGACAGGACAATGAAAAAAAAACACAGCCGTATAACCTGTGTGTATATTCGGGGATTCATGAATAATTCTTCTTCTGATAACCAGATTAACGTGCCAAACATATGCATACCAATCTTGCCATAGAGCTTGATATTTCCTGCTGAAATGATTAGTTGACTAATCATAGTTTGCAGAAAATTCATCTTTGAATACTGATTAGCTGAAGCACTTTATCAAGCAATTTGCACAAAGTACAGCCTGACAGAGGCTGTTCCTATCAGGCACAGCAGTGCTTTGAGCTAAATGCTAACGTTACAATGCTAATGCTGCATTCATTGATCCCATTTGTCAAGTTGGGAAATGTTTTTTCCGACTTCCGTGTGTTAATTAGCTTGAAGCAGCCCCCCAGGAACACTGTTTATCCTTGCTTTCAATTTTTCCCGGTGGCCCCTGTGGAGTCGAGGTGAAAAAAATCCCTTGTGGCCCAAAAAGAATTTTCTCCATGACTACCATTATAAAAGAGATGTCTGTAAAATTGTTGACAGGACACCTCAAACTGCAAACAAGGTCAATTATGACTCTTTCTGTAATTTCTTTTTATATCCATGGAGGTTTTATATTTGTAAAACATTCCTTGAGCCGAGAAAAAATTTGTGACATCATTGGGATGTAAAGTTTATGAGCTGAGTAGGAACTTGTGGGCGGAGCCAGCAGGTAAAACACTACTGCACATATTCAGTGGGCTGCATACATTGGAAGTAAACCTGGAAGCTAGAAACGTTTTTGGCCTTTGTGCCAGGCGAGCACAAGTAGGTATCATCGACGTATTGAGAGACCAGGGCTGCATTCAGCCCCAGCAAAACTTAGCAAAACATGTATGTAAACAGATACAGTGCACTGAACATCATATTGTGTTACGTGGGTACACTGCCTAGCAGGCATTCCTCACCTTCCTCCTCTCCCAACCAGCCACACACATTGTAGTATTGTAGTGAACCATCATTTTGTATCGACTGCCAGTTTTGTTGCTCACACTTTTCTCCTGTTTATTAAGTTAGGGAGGTAAGCTTTTTGTCATTTGTGTCTTATTTTTTGATTAGGTTATTTACTTACTCCCTTGACAGGATTGTTTTGTTTGTTATTTTGGCTTTAGTCCACCCTGACGTTATTATTTACCTCAATTCTGTCATTTAATTATTGTAATAAATTCACACTATTGATCATTCCACATGTCTTTGTCATTGTGTGGACTTAGGGAAGATGGGGCCTTTCATGTTGTGTCTCAGACAGCCCTAGCCTGGGCATAACAACAATGATTGTATGCACAATTAGCATCTACCAAAATTTGATTTAGATACAGGTTGCTGCTGATTGGGTAACACCTCTGACCAGGGGTGTCGTTTCAGCAAAAGCTAAGGTATGGCAATATGACATGACGTCACAGAGCTACTGATGATGATGGAGTTTCAAAAATATGAACTTATATAAAACTTCACTTTGGTCTTTGACCTGTCAGAAGTACATACTATGCTATTGAAAACTGTTTCAAAGGACATGAAGCTGTTTCTCACATTCATAATACCTCATGTCTGCATGTAATGCACGACTTGGTGAGAGCAGTGAAAACATCGGACCTATTTCGGCGCATATTTCAGCACCACGGACAGCGAGCGGACGTTTAATTATCAGTCGTGTTTAACTTCACAGAAAATAAAGAAAATAAATTAATTACAAGCTCATTTCTAGAAGATAACCAAGGGGCCCAGTGTATGAAACACAGTAAAACAAAGGCCAATTTGGTACAATACTGCATAGGCAAATTTATTGGAGTGTCTCCAGAGACCGAAAATACAAGCTTAACATGCCGACATGAAGAAAAAAAACCCCACATACAATCAGACAGGCTTCAAGACATCATTTAGACAGGCTGTCTACAGCAGCAGAGCAAAATGCTTTTACAACACACAGATAACTCACATAACGCATAACTCATAACTCACGGAGGAGAGAAGTGGTGAACAATTTGATTCACTAACACTCGTATTCACTGGTGACCTGGTCATTAGCCAATCAGAAGCATGAGGAGCGCTGAGAGCCTGCCCACCAATGAAACAAAATATGGAGTGGTAAATTTGTTTTTTGCAGTAGGATCAGAAAACAAGGAATTGAGCTGAATTTCGTTTTTTCATTTTTTTGTCAAAAACGAAAAAACAGTTTTTTCATTTTTTCGTTTTTTGCCCAAAAACGAAAAAACAACTTGTTTCTGGTTTCTGATTGTGTCAGTTATTCCCAGAAAACATACGGTTAAAAGGTACCTTGGTCGGGGAGTCTGCTCTGGAGGAGGACACTGAACCTATCAGAGAACAAGACTCTGCTACACCAGCTCCTCTGATCGTGAGCGCTGGACCTCTTGGCAAAGTTCAGAGCATAACATTATGAGACAGTAGTATGTCTCGATTGTGTGCATACTGCATGCAACAGGACCCACTTTTTAGGGGCAGCTGCAGTACATACAATTAGTAAAATGAAAAAGTATGCAATTTGGAACGCACCCTAAGAGTGCCTCTAATATTTCAGTAGAGGACCACTGACCAAGCATCAGTATTTGAACACAGTTCTCTGAAATACAATGAATACTTATTTGTGGTCATTGTTATGATATTAAACATTGTGCAAAATATTGTCAATCGTTGTTGTAAATTGTCATTAAAAAAGTCAGAAAAAGTTAAAACAATTTATTTAAGAAAAAAAGCATAGTTCAGTATGTCATGCCTAAAAATAACATAAAAAAGTCAGTGTTCACTTCTCCTGTGTGACCCTTAATCATATGCTGGCTCCTTAAAATGGCACTCAGCCATCTAAACTCTGAAAAGTCCTGATCCAAGAGTTTTCCTTCAAATTTGTAAAATGGTCAGTTTAGCTGTAAAATTAAAATTTCACCTGAGGGGGTTAGTGGTGATTTACGAAGGTCCCCCCAATGTTAAATAAGTATTAAGGCCCTGCATCACGGCTGGTCAGAGTTTCATTTGCAACAAATGGCAATAATATGTTGGCGCTGAAAGTTGCATTTCACGCATTCATCTTCTGATACCAACACTTCAAGATTCCACTCTGGGTCAGAATCTGGACCATTTGGTGGAGGTCTCCATTAAAAGTAAAGCTACCGTCCTCCTCCAGGCACCGGCCTGCATTCATAGCTCTCTGATCTCCTCCACAGTGTCACCAGTCGTGCGTAAAAGCGTGTTTATATACCACATAACCAGTGTGATATGAGTTTCAGACAATGACAGCCTCGAGCTGACAAGAATTAATTAATTAATTCACATGATGATATCCACATCAAGAAGAACCAAAAGCCAGGTGAGTTAACCGGTTCTCAGTAAGGCTGCTGATTGAGAGGAGAGGAAAACAAAACACACACACACACACACACACACACACATAAAAGTTGATAATATTAATTATAATTTGAATAATTAAAGCAAACGCAATTTATATCGCAATGCAGCCATATCATGTATAGGCCGGTTTAATACATCGCCACACACTAACAGATGCTATTGTTCCTGCAGTAGAGGACAGGCCGGTGTGGACGTAATGACAACTCTAAGGTCAGACGTGTTGTTATGGACCTGATGGTTCCATGGTTGCTATGTGGTCTCTAGGTGCATCTTTTCACACATTTAAACATTTAAATCAGAACAAACTTTGCATTGGAGAGAGAAGCAGCATCTCAACTTGCACACGACGATTTTTCTGAAAACCAACCCACAAACTGAGACCTTTTGCCTCTGGACCTCTTCTTAAGACCTGCTGTGACTCACAAACGGACTCTTTCAAGGTAGACGAGAGATTTTGACACTTTTTTAAAGCCCATGTTGGTTTCTGTGTATTTTATCATTGAGACCTTACAAAAAATGTATTGATGTAGGCAAAGTATGACCAATATTGGCCATATTTTCCCTACATCAGTACCCTTTTAGTGTAAATTAATCAAACTGGACTGATGTTTGACTGTTACCAAGTTTAAATAAGTTAATCCAAAGCTACTGTCTTTGGTTTGTCTGTTTTATCTGTCCAACAAACAGCCCAGCATAAACATGCTAATAAAAATATATCTTATGTATTTTTGAACTCTGCAAGCAGTGACACAAGCATTGAAGCCTTATGATTTGAATATGCTCATAATTCAACCTTTTTCTCAATATCAAGGATGTTTTTCATTTATAAGTATTTTACACAAAACGTATTTTAAATATTATGTTATGATACTGTGAGAGCAACAGAGAGGTGTGTATCATGGAGATTTTTCTAGAAAAAAAAAATGCTGATATGGCACTGGCTTTTTCTCATTCAGCAAGAGAGCTTAAAATTGGCATGTTGTTGAACATCTGGCAAAAATGTCCCTCTGTAAAAGACAGCTATGTCCTCTGTATGCATGGGCAGATTATGAAACAATGGGCCCCTGGGCACAGATATGCAAAAGGCCCCACCAACTCTCCTACACAGGGTCAAGACACACAGAGTTTGTGCTGGTTTTGCCTCTTTTTGTTGTTTGCGTCTCTCTGAGGTCATCTTGTGTGTCTCTCAGGTCATTTTGTGTCATTTTTGGTTGTTTTATATCTCTGTTGGCCGTTGTGTGGCCCTTAAGGTCATCTGTGTCTCTTTGAGGTCATGTTGTGTATTTTTAAGTCATGTTGCGTCTCTCTGAGGTCATCTTGTGTGTCTCTGAGATCGTTTTGCATCTTTTCTGGCGGTTGTGTTTGTCTCTAAAGGACATTTAATGTCTCTTTGAGGTCATGTTGTGTCTTTTTAAGTCTGGCTGAGGAACTTTTCTCTTTAGGATCATTTTATTATTTTTTTCTGCCATTTTGTCTTTTTTTTAGGCCATTTTGTGTCTCTTTGAGGTCAGTTTGTGTCATTGTAGTTATTTTTTGTGACTTTGAGGCAATTTTGAGTCTGCAATTTGGAGTCAATTTACATCATTATAGTCATTTTGTGTCTCTTAGAGGTCATGTTGTGTCTCTGACGTAATTTTGTGTATCTCAAAAGTAATGTTTTGTATTTTAGAGTTATTTGATGTTGTTTTAGTCATTTTATGTCTCTTACAGGCAATATTTTGTCTTTCTGAGGTCATTTAGTGTCTCTCTGTGGAAATATTGTGTCTTTTTAAGTCATTTTGTGTCACGCTGAGGTACTCGATCCTTTCTTTTGTTTTGCTTTTTTAAGGTTATTTTGTCCTTTTTTTAGGTCTTTTTCTGTCACTTTGAAGTCAACATATGTCATTTTAGTCTTTTTGTGTCTCTCTGAGGATATTTTGTGTCTCTTTAAGGTAATTTTGTTTCTCTCTGAGGTAATTTTGTTTCTCTCTGGGGTCATTTTATGTCTCTCTGAGGTAAGTTTATGTCTCTGAGGTAATTTTGTGTCTCTCTGAGGTAATTTTGTTTCTCTCTGGGGTAATTTTATTGCTCTCTGAGGTAATTTTGTTTCTCTCTGGGGTAATTTTGTGTCTCTTTGAGGTCAATTTGTGTCTTTTTTCTTTTTTGTGTCTGTTTGTAGTTGTCTATTTTGTAGTGTTTTTGTCTCTTTGCAGTTCCTCAGCATGTTTTTGTGGTAATTTTGAGTCTCTTCCTGGTCAGTAAGTGTTAATCTGAGTGACATTTTGCAGGTGAAGGTCAGAGGGGCCCCTGACACTCTAGGGTCCCTGGGCCTTTGCCCAGTATATCCATTCAGTAATGCATCCATGCTGTCAGAAAGCTTTCAAACTCTTAGAAGGACAAACTGGGTTTAGATATAACACAATTATTGTGACTAAAAGAAAGGCTATAATTTGAATTAGTTTTCAAAAGTCAGTTGTGACTGAATTTTCTGAGTTTGGCATTAACATGCAGCAGTGTTGACTGTGTGGTAATGGGCCAATTTATTATGTGATGTGGTCTCAGGGTTGGATTTTTTTCCTTCAGATGGACATCCCACACCCAGATGAGGATGGCATTCCACGGCTCATCCTTCGGAGGGTCCCTGCACCGACCTCCCCTAGTGGCTCACCATCTGGCTCCTCAACCTGGGACTCGGATACGTCCAGTCTGCTGGGAGACACTGTAAGACACTGTATTCTGACCTAATCTAGTCTAATGTCCAAAATAAAGATAAAAATAAAATGAGTTGTCGGTGCACGATCATCACACAGAGTGTTAGAAACTGAAACACTGGAGCCAAGCTGAAG